CCTTCAATGGATAGGATCCAAATTTTTAATTTTTTTTTTTCCACATGTTCACATAGACTTTTCAAGACAACCGATTCACAAACTTGATCAATATGGATTTGAAACAATAATTTAAGATAAATCAAATTTGAGTTCAAGCTCAACCTCTATTATATTTAATGAGTAATTGTACTTAGATTGGGTTGAAAAGCTTCTTAAAATGTTATGCTTATACATAAATTACTGAATGAAAGGTAAGTATTCAAATGAGCTCCATACTATAATTAGATTATTGTTATTTATTGTTCATGCAATAAAAATTTATGATAAAGACGATAAAATAAACCGCTAACAATGAAGTAGATTGTGATTAATCTGTTTGTGGAAGAAAGACTTACAGAGTGATTCAAGGGTTTTTGTGGTCCAAATTTACTTTTGAATCAAAGACTTGACTCTTTGTCTTGGAATTGGAAGGTGGAGACTTGGCCTTAATCTTTTGGCTCAAATTTCCAACTTCCAGTTATTTGCATTATGATTGAGGTCCTTGCAATCCAAGGGGCTAATACTTGCTAATTAAAGTGATGAAACCAACAAACATCATTTAGACAGTGATCATGGTTAATGCATAGGTAAGTCGGACACTTAGCGAGGGGTAAACACTTGATCACGGTTAAATTTCATGTCTACTTGTCTAAAAKTTCCAACTTTGAATTGACGTCTTGTTTTGATGTAATGAAAAACAAGACCACAAGGAAACTTCTCTTTGAATCTAATATTATTGGCTGCTCGTGTAGAATTTTCAAGTGCACTTTTCTAAGTCTTCAATACTTRCTAGTGCCMCTTCTATGCTTTTGAAAATATCCCCGCAAATATCATGTAAAAGGTTAAAATTAATCCTAAAACTTTATACAAATTAAGATAATTACACATAAATATTTTTCTCAAGGGAAATAATTCCCAAGATTCCTAATAATACAACCTCAAGATTCCTAAACTAGAATAAGAACACAATAATTCTTATTCTCAATGATCAAGAGAACGGAAAAAAGAAGAATGGTATGAAGCATTTAGGGACCGTTTATTAAACGCTTACTTGGTAAGTGCTTCTCGAGTAATTTTCTTTATCTGATGAACATGGCAAGGGT